CCATCTGTGGCTTGAACCTCGGCAAAAGGGCGGCAAGGAACACGGGATTTTGAGTTTAGGGTTTTAGGGTTTTAGGGTTTAGGGCTTAGGGTTTTAGGGTTTAGGGCTTAGGGCTTTGGGCTAGGGCTTACGGCTTACGGCTTAGGGCTTAGGGCTTAGGGCTTAGGGCTTAGGGCTTAGGGCTTAGGGCTTAGGGCTTAGGGCTTAGGGCTGAGGGCTGAGGGCTGAGGGCTGAGGGCTGAGGGCTGAGGGCTGAGGGCTGAGGGCTGAGGGCTGAGGGTTTAGGTTTGGGGGTTTAGGCTTTAGGTAGGGTGTAGGGTGTAGGGTGTAGGGTGTAGGGTGCAGGGTGCAGGGTGCAGGGTGCAGGGTGCAGGGTGCAGGGTGCAGGGTGCAGGGTGCAGGGTGCAGGGTGCAGGGTGTAGGGTGTAGGGTGTAGGGTGTAGGGTGTAGGGTGTAGGGTGTAGGGTGTAGGGTGTAGGGTGTGGGTGTAGGGTGTAGGGTGTAGGGCGGAGGGTGTAGGGTGTAGGGTTTAGAGCGTAAGGTTTTTTTGGGGGGTTTAGGCTGTCGGGTTTAGGGTTTAGGGCTTTACAGAGCTTAGGTCTTGAGGAGGATGTCGGTTCAACACTTACTTGGAGGTTCATGGGTACTCATAACCCCAATTGGGTTTAGGGTTTAGGGTTTAGGGTTTGCCTGGGCTTGGGGTTATAGCGTCATAGGGGGGATGCTCAATCTGGACAGCAGCGCACATCTCTGCTGCACATCTCGCGCACCTGCCACGAAGAAGCCGCCCAAGTTCTAAACCCTTAAACCCTAAGCCCCTACACCCTTAAACCCTAATCCCCTCATCCGGAAAGCCTGCGCCTTGAAGGATTACAGTGTCCTTCCCACGTAATATAGGGGACTTGATAATTCGAATAGGGCTTTGGGGGCTATAATAGTTACCAAGAGACGACAAGGGAATACTAGTAAAAATTATTAGAATAGGGCTTTGGGGGGCTATTATAATATAGTTACAAAGAGACGAGAAGGAAATTATTCCGATCCCTGTATTGCCTCTAAGCTCGGAGGGGTGTGAGGCTTAGCGGCATTGGGTTCAAGATTTAGGGCCTGGGCTTTAGGTCTTCATCCCTCAAGCCTGCCCTGAACCCTAAACCCTAAACCCGAAACCCTAAACCCTAAACCCTAAACCCTAAACCCTAAACCCTAAGCCCTAACCTGCGAGGAGGCAGTGTCCGTACTGCGGCGTTCTCACCCCGGCTTGCGGGGTTTCTCGTTTGAGGGTTTAGGGTTTTAGGGTTTTAGGGTTTAGGGTTTAGGGTTTAGGGTTTAGGGTTTAGGGTTTAGGGTTTAGGATTTAGGGTTTAGGGTTTAGGGTTTAGGGTTTAGGGCATCGAGAACCCCCCTCTGCAAAGACCCTCCTCGCAAGGCCCACACTCTTTCACCTGCTCTAGCAGCAACTCCACGTTCTTGCCTGCACAGTCCGCGTTCTAGGGTTTCGGATTTAGGTTTAGGGTTTAAGTAAGGACTAGGGCTGAGAATTTCCTAAACACTGAACCCTGAACCCCAAAACCAAAACCCTAAACCGACTGGGGGGGTCTAGTTTCAAGGTTGGGGGTCTACGAAGCCCTGGACACGCGCTTACGCCCCCCCTCAAAGCAGTGTTGCTCTCTGAGGTTCAGTAGGGTTCAGGGCTTGTTGGGTTTAGGATGGCTTAGGGTGTAGGGTGCAGGGTTTAGGGTTTAGGGTTCAGGGGTTAGGGTTTAGGGTTCAGGGTGCAGGGTTTAGGATTTAGGGTTTAGGGTTTGTGGGTTTAGGGTTTAGGGTTTCGGGGTTTAGGGTTTAGGGTTTAGGGTTTAGGGTTTAGGGTTTAGGGTTTAGGGTTTAGGGTTTAGGGTTTAGGGTTTAGGGTTTAGGGTTTAGGGTTTAGGGGTTAGTGTTTAGGGTTTAGGGTTTAGGGTTTAGGGTTTAGGGTTTAGGGTTTAGGGTTTAGGGTTTAGGGTTTAGGGTTTAGGGTTTAGGGTTTAGGGCACCCGTGCTGCCGTCACCAGGCACAAGGAACGCAACCAAGCAACCACTCGTTGACATGCATTGCCTTGTGCAATGAACCCTCAACCCTAAACCCTAAACCTTAAACCCTAAACACTAAACCCTAAGCCAGCGCACGACCATGGCCCAAGTAGACGACCGCTGCGCGCGCAGGACATCGGAGTCTTTTTCGTGTCCAAACAAAACGCTTTACTTGGAGGTTCATGGTACTTTTTAACCAAATATAGCTGTACTTATAACCCACTTATAGGCCCCTTTGAGTGCCCTAGCAGAGTTATAGCTTGGGCTATAAGTACAGTTATAACCCTAAACCCTAAACCCTAAATACGTACAGTTATAATTGGTTAAGAAGTACCCTGAACCTCCAAGTACTCGGAATAGTGTGTGTTGGGGGGAGGGGGCCGTTCAAAGCGGGGAGGCGTTACGGTGTGGGGTTTAGGGTGTAGGGCAAAGCCCTGAACCCTAAACCCTTCAACCTTCAACCCTAAACCCTAAACCCTAAACCCTAAACCCTAAACCCTAAACCCTAAACCCTAAACCCTAAACCCTAGACCCTACCATTTTCAGGAGGAAACCCTGAATCCGAGCCAGGGCCTGCTGCCAGCGCAATGGGCTTGAACTTTCCGGGAAACTGCCGGCAAATGTCCAGCGTCTGCGTCCCGATGCCTGGTTTGGGGTTTAGGGTTTAGGGTTTAGGGTTTAGGGTTTAGGGTTTAGGGTTTAGGGTTTAGGGTTTAGGGTTTAGGGTTTAGGGTTTAGGGTTTAGGGTTTAGGGTTTAGGGTTTAGGGTTTAGGGTTTAGGGTTTAGGGTTTAGGGTTTAGGGTTTAGGGTTTAGGGTTTAGGGTTTAGGGTTTAGATCTTACGTCAGCGGTGGTGGGGCTTGGGGATCTGAGAACCAGGCGTTTAGGGTTTAGGGTTTGGGGTGTGGGGTTCAGGGTTTACGGTTTAGGGTTTGGGGTGTAGGGTCCCTAACCCCGACCACCCCTAAACCCTACGGGCCAATCGCCCTGACGCCCAGGATTTCACGCTGAGCCCGCCCTAAACCCCGAACCCTAAACCCGCACCCCCAAACCCTAAACCCGAAACCCTAAACCCTAAACCCGGAAACCCTAAACCCTAGACCCAGAAACCCTAAACCCTAAACCCACAAAACCCTGCGCCCGAAACCCCAGGCCACAAGCTGGGGCACCAGGCTGCCTGTCGATCCCAGGATGGATATCCTGCTCCAAGGACCGGCCAGGGTTCAGCCGAGTTCAGGCTCCCAGGCCCGAAACCCCAAACCCTAAGCCCTAAACCCTAAACCCTAAACCCTAAACCCCCGCCGAATATCCTCCACCTCAGGAGGTTGACGCTGGTGCTGGGTGGGGGGGGGAGGGGTGGAGTTGGGGCAAACAGGTTGTGATTTCAGGGATGCCAGCTTGTAAGCACTGATCATCTAGGGCTTGAAGGGTTGACGGTTCGGTGGTCAAAGCCTCGTCATGCGTGATAAGTTTTTACGGTTTAGGGTTTAGGCGATACATGTGCTTCACCGGGAACAGCCAGACCAATGGACTTAAAATCCCTAAAGCTCGCAGGCTCGACGGCCCTTAAGCCCTAAACAAACACGGACAAGAAAACGACACTCAAGCCCTACAGCAACCCCAAAGCCCTCGACCCTCAACCCTCCCAAAACCCTGAATGAACCTAAACCAGGTGTAGGGTTTAGGGTTCAGGGTCTAGGGTTTAGGGTTTAGGGTTTAGGGTTTAGGGGTTAGAGTTTAGGGTTTAGGGTTTAGGGTTTAGGGTTTAGGGTTAGGGTTTAGGGTTTAGGGTTTAGGGTTTAGGGTTTAGGGTTTAGGGTTTAGGGTTTAGGGTTTAGGGTTTAGGGTTTAGGGTTTAGGGTTTAGGGTTAGGTTTAGGGTTTAGGGTTTAGGGTTTAGGGTTTAGGGTTTAGGGTTTAGGGTTTAGGGTTTAGGGTTTAGGGTTTAGGGTTTAGGGTTTAGGGTTAGGGGGCCGACTTAGGTAGAATGGGAGTTGAGGGCTCAGGGGTTTGGAGGTTTCACATTAACGGGGTTGCAAGGGACAACGTTGATCAGCTTTTAGGACCCTGCAAGTTAGTGTGGGGACTTAAGAGGCTCTTTCTTGTCTCTGAGGCATCTAAGTAAGGGTTTGGATCACTTAGCTTGGGAGGGGGGTTCGCATGTGTTTGGGGTGTTGCGGCTTGGGGTTTAGGGTTTAAGGTTTCAGGCCTAGGGATGGATGAGGATTTATTAAAGGTTTAGGGTTTAGGGCTTAGGGTTTGAGGCCTAGGGCTTAGGGTAGTCGTAACAAGCACTGCCTCTTGTCCTCTGGCGCCTCGTTGGACGTGTCCTCCATACAGGTCGGAGAAAGTGTTGTCCTAAACGCTAAGACCGGGGGGGGGGGGGGGGGGGGGCCCAAGCACTAAGCCGACTTCTGTTGGTAGTCTTTTCGAGCAGTACTTGGAGGTTCAGGGTGCTTATGACCCCAATTATAATTGTACTTCTAAGCCCCCTATAAGTCCCCTAAGTAGGAGAGAAGTAGACTTACAAAGGGGGTTCATAAGTTCCCATGAACCTCCAAGTAGCCCCAAACTCTCACCGAAGCCAGGGCTGCTGCAGACTCCGAGAGCCACGGAGCACTAAGCACTAATTCTCAAAGGCACCCTGCCAGAGGTTAGCTTGCGAGCATGACCTCACCAAGAAACCACGCAAAACCCCCAAAAAAAACTTTAAGGAGCTAAGGTTGGAGTCCACCAGACAGGGCAGGCAAACCCGTTCAGGCCGAAGAGCTTGGCCCTCAAGGCGCCCCACAACCCTGAACTCCCGCACCCCCTCAGCCCCTAAACTCCCCAGGCCCTAAACCGTTACTTGCAGAATCCTGGAAAGCCTTAAAACCGTATGCCTCAGGAAAAACTGGCCAGGTATATTACGTCATCATAACCCCACACATGGCTCTACACGTCAACTTGCAGAATGTGGCGGGGGTCTTTGGTGTTGGTGCCCACCAGATTGCGACCTTTTGCCCAGCTCCGCCTGGAAGAGTCTCATCCACATGAAACCCTAAACCCTAAACCCTAAACTCTAAACCCTAAACCCTAAACCCTAAACCCTAAACCTGGGGAGGGTTCGAGCTTCTGGGTGGGGGGGGGTCATGAACGTTTGGTTCACTCGTGAAGGCTCATGCGCTAGGCAACTAGGGCTGCATGTACTTGGCATCCGAATACAACTTTACAGCACTCAGTGTGCACACAAGTTTGGCGCTTTTGGAGAATGAGAAGAATTATTCTGACATGCTCATACGTGATTCTCGCGTGTCGCGTGAACTAAGTTTCGAGGACAAAGGTAGAAGCAAAATCCAAACCAAGAACCCGATGTGTGAAAGAGGACAGTTTGTTCGAGGAGAGAGCAGAATCACATACTAAACTACAGCACATACACCCAATACATACATGACCCCGAGCGGAAAACAACAAACATACCTTTAAACCCCAAACCCAGACCCCAGACTGAAGCCCATGAACTAACCCAGACCCAATATTGGGTTTAATTACACCGTGGCCTCGTAGCCCAAGGCGCTGAAACCGCTCCACCCGCCCACTCCATATGAATAACCAGAACAAACTCAGGGAACACCACATCAAAGCAACCACGCATCAAAGTGAAAAGCCCTGCGCCTGGCGGCGCGCGACGCCCGCGCGCGGCCTGCGCCAAAGGCGCCGGCGACTGCGCCGAGTGCCACGGAGGGCGCGGCCAAGGCAGAAGAGGAGGCGCCAGCCTCCTCTTACTTGGAGGTACATGGGTACGTACTGACCCCCTTATAAGTACACTTCTAACCTACTTAGGGGGCTTAGAGGGCTTACACAAGTACAGTGATAGTTGGGGCCATAAGTACCCTGAACCACCGGGTGCCGCAGAATCAGGGATTCTGTTCGCAATCTCCACTCCACTCTCCGTTAGGAGTAGATGGGGCTTCGAGGCTTCTCAAGATATCGTGTTGTCTTCATTCGCCCATACAGTTCCCCATGCAGTTAGCAGGCGTATTCCTTGACTGAGGCTCTTTGAGCTTGGCAAGGGAACTTGTCGGGTTTCCGGGCTCACCTTGAAGGTTCCATGATGTAGGGTTTAGGGCTTCGGGTTTGGGGTTTAGGGTTTAGGGTTTAGGGTTTAGGGTTTAGGGTTTAGGGTTTAGGGTTTAGGGACTTCCTCGGTGTAGGTTTAGGGCTCTCAACCCTAAACCCCGAGCCCCCGGAAAGTTTGGCACCTCCAGGGCAGGGCGCTGGCGCGCCTCCCAGGAATTTCTGCTGGATTGGTTCGCGCCGGTTTTTGGGTGGTTTGGGGTTTAGGGTTTGGGGTTTGGATGGGTTTGGGGTTTGGGGTTTGGGGTTTGGGGTTTCTGGGCTTAGGGTTTAGGGGCTGTGGGGAATTTAGGTACCTTATCTCCCCCCCTATTTTCCCCTTCAAGTTGTTATGTAGGGTGCCTACTGCCCACATTCCCTGCTGAGGACCTGCAAGAATCAAAGGGCTCGAAGAGCTGATTTGGGTTCAGGGGTTCGGGGCGTCGGGTTAGGGACTTGAGGGGTTTAGGGTTTGGGGTTTAGGGTTTCGAGTGTAGGGTTTGGGGTTTCGGGCTTAGGGTCTCGGGTTTGGAGGTTCTGGGGTGTAGGGTTTAGGGTTCTGGAGCTCTTGCCAAACATGTCTCAACCTCAAACCTTCCAATGCAGCAAACCAATACCACGGCCCTAAACCCTAAACCCTAAACCCTAAACCCTTCTGTGCCTGTGCTTGCCCGCTGCCCGGGAGCGCCCTCACCACAGGCGCGGGTGGCGACACCGAACCTTGGGTACGTAGGTGTAGAGGTTTTAGGGATTACTAATGTAGCGATGCTTATGGAAATGGACTTGTGGTCACCAGCTTTTAGGGATTAGCGCTTAGGGTTTATTGTTTAAGGTTAAGGGTTCAGAGTTCAGGGTTCAGGGTTTAGGGTTTAGGGTTTAGGGTTTAGGGTTTCGGGTTGAGGGTTTAGGGCTTCAGGTCTTAGGTTTTTGGGGCTGAGGGCTTAGGGTTTGGGGTTTAGGGTCTGCGAGATTCACGCTCTCAGTTTCGTTTTTTTGTTTTGCGGGGCAGGTCTGAAGACAGAGCCGCGGATCCTGTGCAATCCAAATAACCAGGAGGCCCCTCTGAGCCCTAGAAGCCCTGAATCATTGAGGCTCCAAACCCTAAACCCTAAACCCAAGCCCTAAACCCCAAACCCTAAACCCTAAACCCTTAACCCCAAACACTAAACCATGCCACATGGCTATGGGTTTTGGGTCGACGAAACCCCCTATACCCGGAGCCTCTAGTTAGGGTGCTGCCTGGCCGCCCACCACAAAGGCTGCCATGGCCGCGCAACAGCTATGCTGAAGAGCCGAAGAGCCGAAGTGTAAGGTGTAGGCTTTCGGGTTGAGGGTTTTGGGGTTAGGGTCTAGGGTTTGGGGTTTAGGGTTTGGGGTTTAGGGTTCAGGGTTTAGGGATTAGGGATTAGGGTTCGTTGGGGTCTTGGAGTGTCGGGTTTAAAGGCTTGGGTTTAGGTGAAGGGCGCTTCACCAGCAGATGGCCACCTTGCTCAGCAAACGATGGCTGGCACTTGGGATGAACCCTAAACCCTAAACCCTAAACCCTAAACCCTAAACCCTACTTAATGGGGATTAGAATAGGAGGGGCAATAGAATCCCTAAAGAGGGCTGTTAGTTTTAGGGGGGGAGCATGCCAAAGTGGCACGAAGTCTGACTGGTTCTTAGTAGGGGATGAGGGAATATGAGGCACCCTGTATCCCCCCTATATGTACTCTGCAAAGGGATTATGTAGGGTACCTCATTCCCGCATCCCCTACTGACAACCCAGGGGGTCGTTTTAAGCCTGGCGTGGCCTCTTGGTCAGCACCAGCTGGTAATCAATCAGCTTCCCAAACTCGGGTTTGCCAGGCCAATCCTTGATGCTGGCTTGCGAAGGTACCACTTCAGACCCTCGGTAGCCCAGTCAGCACCATATTCTAACAAGGGTACCCCCCCCTTTTTCGGGGTTGCTTGTTGGGCTTGCTATAAGGGAACCTCTTGAGGTTGCTCATTTTACAAGGGAGCCAACCAGGAAAAAAAACAAAAACTAAACCCTAAACCCTAAAAGGTACCACTGGGCTGCCAAGGATCCGAAAAGCAGCTGCGCTCCTTGCGCGAGATGTTGATCCATGCCAAGGCGAGCCAGGCACATCTCAACAACGCAGCGACGCCACCGGTGCGAGTAAATCCAATCGTCGTCCAATGCCACAACACAAGAGGAGCCCGAAAGGCTGGTGATGCGAATGAGAAAACTCCGCTTCTTCGCCTCAGCTGCGAAAGTCTCATCTTGCAAGAGCGAGTCGCTGGCCCACTGAAGTGCATCGGGCCTCTTCGAAACTGCCGCCGCCACCACACGACGGTCACTTTTCAACCCCTCACTGGCCCATTCCAGAGCCCGGCCATTCCGAGCGACGGCCTGCAAGACCATATCACGGTCGTTTCTCAGCTCTTGGCTGGCCCACTGCAGAGCAGATTCGGGCCGAAAATTGCATTCCGCGTAGGAGACCGCCTCTGAGACCACATCGCGATCGCTCTGCAGCCCAGGGCCGGCCCATCGAAGCGCCAAACCATTCTGAGAAATGGCCTTCAAAACCACATCTCGATCGTTCTTCAACTCCTCGCTGGCCCATTGCAGAGCTAGACCGTCGTTGGAAATCGCCTTGCAGACCACCTGACGATCCTTCCTGACAGTCTCGCCAGCACATTGCAAAGACCTGCCGTCGTGAGAAACGGCAAACATCAGCAAGTCCCGGTCGTCCCTGACCTTTTTGCCGGCAAGGTGCAAGGCGGGGAGTACCGAGTCCCGATTCTGCAAAGCACGTGCAACAGCGAGCTGGATCAAGTCGCGGTCGTTCCTCAGGGCTTCCGGTGCAAACCCTAAGGCGGCTGGTCCACCCTGCGCCACTGCAGTCAGGACTACCGCCATATCTTTCTTTACGGTTCGGCTGGCCCACTGCAGGGCCAGGCCATTGCCCCTGACTGCCACCAAGACTACCCCACGGTCGTTCTGCGCAGCCTCACCGGCGAACTCCAGCACCTCGCCTGCCTTGGAAACTGCCACCATGACTACGCCCCGGTCGTTCTTGAGAGCCGCGCCCGCGAACTTGAGCGCATACCCATCGTTGGAAACTGCTGTCAAAACCACCCCTCGGGCATTCTTTAGAGTCTCGCCGACAAATTCCAGAGCTTGGCCTTGCTTAGAGACTGCCATTAAAGCCACCTCTTGGTCGTCTCTTTCTGTTTCTGCCGCGTGTTGCAAGGCCAAGCCGTTGCTGGCAACAGCTTTCAGGACGACCTCATGGTCAGACGTGAACTCGCCACCTACCCACTCCAAGGCCAAGCCATTCTGCGCAACAGCCTTCAAGACGACCTCGCGGTCACACGCAAGCTCCCCACCTGCCCACTCCAAGGCCAAGCCATTGTCTTCCACAGCTTTCAAGACCACCTCACGGTCTCTCCTCAGCGCCTCGCTTGCCCATTCCAAGGCCAAACCATCCCGGGAAACCACGCGCATCATGAACTCGCGGTCGTTTCTGACAGCTGCGGAGGCGAATCTTATAGCTACGCTGTCGTCGAGAAAAGCCGCCCAGACGACCCCGCGGTCGTTGGCAAAAGTACCGGGGGCCCATTCCAGCTGCATGCCATCCTGGCGAACAGATCTCAGTGCATTTTCACGGGTCTCGAAGTTTGCGTCTCCATCCTCCTCTGGATCAGTCTGAGACATCCTGTGATGCTCCTGCTCCCTGCGGCTT